GAAACTTCCAACTGATTTTGACGTTGAAACGAAAGATTCGCGTGGTGATGCTGAGTTTTTAGTGGAAGATGAGTCTACAAGAATTAACTTCGCTGATAAATCTATGCTGTCTGAAATGACAGATTTAGTACAAATGTGCATTGAAAAATGTGGTTATAAAGATTTAAGTGTATTGATATACATTCTCATGCGGTATTTAGGAAAATCTTATACTAGTACGGCTGAACTTTTGAAAAGTTTAGGCTGTTGGTGATCAGAAACATGTCACAAGTGGGCAAAAGTGTTCATTCTCCAGGATTTGAAACAATTTTATTGTGACGTACGTGGAGGAAAAGAGGACCATGTTTTTATGACTGGTTTCCTGACATTGAAGTTTTAGCCAAAGCATTCATTACGGAACAGTGTAAACAAAAGTCAGCGGCGTTTAAAACTGCTGACTTGGCCAGTTTTATTGATACAAAGTTTTACGAAATCACTGGCATAACTAAAGACCCGAAAGATGGTTTGATCCGTTCGGAAAACAGTTATTGCCTTGACCTGCGTCGTTGGGGTGTAAAATTTGGTCCAAATGCCACCAAGCCTTACTACAAAGGACACGAACGTGACGATGTAATACAAGCCAGGAAAGATTTTATTGATTATTTTCTTTCAAGAAAGGATCAATTTTATACAGGGTCAGATGGAGATTCTCTGGTGTGGAAGTCACCCACTCAAAATCCGCCATCTATTTTAAACAATAAGTCTTCATTTAATTTTTGTATCTAGTCTCGACAAGTTTTTGAGTCCTTTAGATCTTGTAAAACGCGAGTTTTTTGTCAAAGTTGCTCGCGATTTACGCGTTCTCCCATTTTCTTTCGTTGTAGGCCACGACGAGTCAACCTTCCGCTCCGGCGAGCTTTCTCCGAAGGGTTGGTTCATTAAGGGTGATTCCCCTTTTTATTCTAAAGGGCGTGGCCGCAGTTTGATGATAAGTGATTTCATAGTAACGCACCGAGACAGTCCTTTTTTTACACTTAGCCAAACGGAATATGAGACAGCTATCAAGAAATATCCAAGTTTAAAGAATGCAGACGATCTCACTTCCGTTCCACGTTCAGCAACAGCCTCAATTCAAATAGGAACGCAAGGTTATTTTGATAGTGACACTGTTTTATCACAAGCAGAAAGAATTTTTCAATTGATAAGATTCAAAAAAGCGTTTGACGGACACGAGATTGTTTTCTTGTTTGACAATGCTCGGACACATACTGCCTGTGAATTCGGTTTAAATGATTTTGGTAAAAGTTCCAACACACGTTGTCCTGTTGGCCGAATTAGCTACACGGACGAAAATGGTGCTAAGAAAGTGCTCAGTTGTCGTTTTACCAAGGGCCCTAAGAAAGGTCAATCTAAAGGATTATTTCATTTGGCGCTAGACCTTGGTTTTCAAATTTCTCCAGATATTTTATCTCTAGTCGATAATTATTGCAGGATGTGACAAAAGTCGTTGCAATGAGTAATTAATCATTAGAACCATAAAGGCATGTTTTGATAATGGCTATATGACCTCAATGATCAATAGTCAATCACTAATATTGGCAAACAACAAACTAAACTTAGTTGCAACATCACTGGTTTATTAAATACTGAAGATCAACATTAGCAACTAACAGCTTCGTAACTTTATGTTGTTTTTATACAGTGTCGTGTTTTCTTACCGTTTGTTATTCGACGGGGCGATTTATTTGTGACACATCAAGTGAAAAATGGTACATTGAAGAGTTAGTCCTATACAATATATCAAAACAACATGCAAGATTGATTATGTCTGTTAGGATAACAAACAAAATCTGTACAGTATTGACCATGGGCTGAGAGTTTTTTAACGGTACCTAACTGAAGGTTTTTACGAAGCCACCTTAGAAACTTCACGTATTGTACATCTGTTCAATGTTTCATGATTTAAAGTTCGATGAGGTCCGCCGGACGAAAGGCTCAGATGACGAAGAATATTCTTTCCTCAAAATTCTCGTTGTCTTCTGACATCAATCGTTGTTTTCGCCTGGCGCTATTTCTTATAAATGTTCAATTTGTGTATCGAAAAGAAAATATTCCATCATATTTCACAGTGTACTTTGATTCTGTTGCACGCACTGCTTTTTCAAAATAAGAAGAAAAAAATGCAATATCCACTGTCAAAAGCTTCATATATTTCGTGCGATGAATAATGTCACATTGATTATGACATTAATCTTCGAAAGGACATCTAAAATAATAAAACTCTAAATTATGTTAATCTCCCTTTTGTATTAAATAAGTCCAAACTAAGATATATGTAAATTTATATAATAAAGTACACAGGCACTTTACGTTGCTGTTGAGTTTAAGATCAAATCATTGTGGAAATGTCTCTAAAGCCAATATGGCACGCAATTGTTGTTCCACCCTTGGTGGAAAAAATTCAAAAATATGACCATGAACAGCAGAATGATAATTGTCGTAAACAATTCGAACGCGGTGAACAATATCAGCTATTGCGGTTACTTGTCCATCAGCCTGACCCATTACTATCATCTGGAGAATTAAAACAGAGAAAAATGGAAATCAATTATCTCAATGCTACGAAACAATTTGTTCGCCGTCTACTCTCGGAGTTTCTCGGAACGTTGATGTTAGTATTAACTCAAGCAGGATTGAAAATTCAAGTGAGCCAACAACGGATTACGAGTGAAAGTAATGCCTTAGGAAACGGTCTGATTATTCTATTTCTTATTTACAGTCTCGGCGGTCGATCCGGTGCTCATTTTAATCCGGTTGTTACACTTTGTTTCTCTTTGAGATTTGTTTTTCCATTCGTCTGGCTTCCATTCTACATCCTCGCTCAATTTCTTGGATCAATCTGTGCGGCGTTCTTCCTTCGACTTCTATTTCAAACAGAGTCTGTTCTTCGTTACGGAACAAATTCAGTTGATCCATCATTTGTGTCCATTCTGAACGGATTGCAATGGGAAATATTTCTAACATTTTGTCTTCTGCTGGTTGTATTACAAACAGCTCATCGAGGAGAAATCATAGGATCTCAAGCAGCAATTGCCGTTAGCGCTGTTATCATATTCAATGTACTTATCGGTTCGACGACAAGTTCAGCATCGATGAATCCATTTCGAACACTGGGTCCCGCATTGATCAATTCAAGTTCAGATGGCAATCGAAGTTTGTGGATTTTCATTATTGGACCACTTGTTGGTGGTGTGTTGGCATTAATTGTTGTTGGGCTTCTGAATGGATTTAGGACAAAGAAAAGAAGCGAATTCAAAATGGCACAAGGTGGTGATAACGATGACAAAAAACTTAGAATAAATAACTTTAATGACAAAAGTATTAGTTATATCTAATTATCAACCAGTAGAAAAGTATTTCTTTGGTTCCTAAGTACCTTTCCAGAAAAATTCAAAATATTTTAAAGAAGAATAGCAGCAAACGGTTAGGAAAAAAAGACATGTTAATAAAAAAGCAAACGTCGCCATTTCTTATCTATGGGCACATGATTAACTCTGATGTAACGCTACAAGTACATTATTACGGATTTCTGGCATTCTCCCTTCTAAGTAAAAATTTTGTATAATATACTTTCCAATTAAAGGGGCTTCCCTACAACAACAAGTAAAGTTATTAATCTTTAACCGGCAAAAGCCGCGCGCTTTTATTCAAAAAACTTATCCGCCGGTAGATAGATTTGAACAAGTAGAACACTTTTTGTATCAAAATTTTTCTTAATATTGAATTTTTAGTAGTGAAAATAACTTTCACGTGTATTTGTTTGGGGGGTGTTCTATTTAAGAACTGCCTGCCTTATTAGAACTCCCGGTCATATATACTCCGCTATTTCTGGACCAAACTCAATTTGTTTTTATCATTCGACGCGCGAGATTCTACTCTGTCGACTATATAAAAAAATTTTAAGTATATCGGCAGATTTTTGTACAGTAATCGATTAAAAATGAGTGTGATTTTTTCGTTCTCTCTAGGTACACTCACTCTAGTGTGTACGAACGTTAAAACACGCTTTCGTTGTCTTTTTCATTCGACCACACGTCAGCAGGTAAAGGAAGAAATGATCACACGAACTTCGTAGTATATGCAAACATATATTCATAAGCACCGTTGATAACACATATTTTAACGTTGACACATTCTATATATAACGTGAATAAGAAAACAAAATAGAAAAGAAAATGACTATTTTTCGCAGCTCCAGATATTTCAATAGAATCATCAAAATACTTGGCACAGAGGAAATTAACTGCCTTACCCTATTCTCTCATATTACATAGCACTGGAGAAAATTTTCAAAAATACCACTTTCACTCAGGTATCTGAGTTTTTTCTGCAATTGAGAGTGGCAAAGGGTGGAGTAACTGGAAATCCTATCGGACACGAGCGGATAAAAATTTATTTTGACGCTGTCAAGATCTCCCCGGTCTGAAATCTATTTCGGTAACCACAACTCTGACCTGAGCCAAAAATTTTGGGGAAGGTTGGGCATGTTGAGGAACTGCATAAGTTTCGATGTTCCAACTATCATCGTTTAGGAGATGTCCCTCGAACATGGGTCAAAACGGGGCATCTGCCGCCCGGCAGATTTCTCCTCTCAGAAAACAACTGGAGAGCTCGGGCTGGTTTTTTAAAATATAAAATAAAGTTAGAGCAGCCACGTGACAGGGCCGGATTTTTGAGTTTTTTCTTGGTTATCTTTTCCGAAGGATTTCACCTAAAAAGTTCAAAAATAGGGCTCTGTTGTGTTGTTCCCATATGTCTTAGCTTCCACTTAAGATCAACCCGAGCTCTCTAGCGCTTAATTTGACGACGAAATCTTTCCGATAGTGTTTATCACGCAGGAAACAGTCGCTTTGAGATACAGTGGCGCTAGTGTACAACACACGTTTTAGGTTGTCTTAATAAGGTAGGCTTAATAATTCCTTTTTAGCATTTCTTTATTTCCCGAACCTAGTAAGTAGTTGAAAAAAAAACCGACCGAATTTTATTTAAATCTATTCATATAACCAAAGATCAGAACGAATAACAAAAAACTTAGTTTTTTCGTGGACAATTTTCGATATTGTGTCGATCGAATTCGACAAATGATAGTCCAGTGGAACATTCATTGTGCATACAATTTTTACGCGTTTTATCTTTGTTAACATATAATCTTGTAACTATTTTATAAGTATTGAATAAATGGTCTCAACACGACGCCCTCTGCCTACGCAAATATTAGCATCAGGAGCTAGTTGACGACGTAAGAGCCCGGTCCAACCTGAAACGAAAAAACGATCGCAAAAAGCTAATTCAAAATGTTTTTCGCTTTCCAATCATGTGGTTATCTTGCAGGGCTCCCGGTGAGCCCCATCCCATGTATTTTCCATACCTAACCCAACCCAGTTCATAAAACTTTAACAAAGTTTACCCATGGAAAGCTCATGGGCTGTTATAAAAATTTGTTTAGCTCACATGTGTTATGAATCGTACGAGATTATTTTTATTTATATTTTAAATATATATGTCAGAGTTGAGATTGGAATCTAGAGGAATTCAGAATTCACCTAGATGAGAATAGAATTCTAATTTCAACTGATTGAGATTGGAATTCTAACGTCAACTAGTTGTGATACGAATGGTGCCTAACTGAACTAGTTGAAGTTAGAATTCTAAACCAAACTGGATGAGATCAGAAT